GGGTGTGAGGCTCCGGCCGTCCCACTTCTAAGTTATCGCTGTCCCAAGCTGTCAGCTCTCATTTTCTCAAAGCCTTTCCGACGTTGCTGAAACTGCCAGAATTCCAGGAAAGTACCAGATGTTACTTCCTGTTCACATAGCAAAACTTGAACTATGTCCCTTCCGCGTGTAAGAGCTGGCTATCTGCCGGATCTCTTTGTTTGTAATATTGTTAATCTTAACTTAATACAAAATTTAATTTTCACACAACACTCCTCCAGTCAGAATGGACGGTTACAGTTGCTACTCTGCGTTTAAATGTCTGTTCCTGTCAGGGTGCTTAAACAATTTTAAGCACTGTGTTTAAAAATGCTGTATCCAACTCAAATTTATGATAAATGAATGGAATTAACTTTGTTTATATCAGCAAAGAACATAGTGTCACATAGTTAATAGAAAGTCCGTCGAGTGTAACAATTTGTAGGTCACTTCTTTATCACTTCTGCCTTACATGTTTCGGTTTGACACAACCATCATCAGAGGCACTTAGTACAATTATGAAAACACTGTCGTTGTTTAATATGTACACAGTTATGTTTGTTGCGTGGACGCTGCTACAATATGTCGACGTGTAAAAGCACAACACTTGCTAGGATAGTTGAATGCACTATCAATTCTCACATTCCATCCGAAACTGCCCTCAAGTTAAAACGCCAATGTTAAAATATTTAAAAAAATTTAAAACATTTGATGTAAAATGTTAAGCTCCTCCTTGTTAATTCATCCCGAAGATGGGAGATGTCAGCTTGAGGTTGTATGGCTTATGGTTAGATGTTTCCTATGTGCTGTGTGTTGTGTACTGCCAACAAAATAGTGTAACGGACCAAAAAATGAAACAATTCAAAATAGTGTCACATATTATAACAGAAGATTTGAAAATTTTTTACAAAGAGTTATACTCTATTTTCAATTTTTTTTTCTTTTAATTTTGATGCATACTGCAAAAGTGGCTCTAGTTCTTCACAAAGTTGTTCTGCATTATAAATTCGTTTCTGTTTGTAACACTTGACAAATTTTAGCAGTCCGTGGTGTCATAAAACAGATGGAAGCCATAAAATCATTTGGTCTTCTGCTAGTACTGCTGTACAATTGTACACTCTTCGGATTTTCGAATCTTTTGACTAAAGGACAGAAGAATGAAAGAATTGCTATTCAAGAGAAAGCTAGAGGGTTCCCTTCTTCAGTGCTACGACCTTCTGTTATAGCTGCAAGAGATTATTGCCCTTTCTATGGTCATGAAGAGACAGTTTCATCGTGGCTGAGATACAGAGTGTGATCTGTTTTCTGTGAGTTCATAGTAGAAATCGAATTATGTAGTTTCATTTCAGCCTATATATACATCAAGCAGATAACAACAAAAAAGATATGTACATCGAATTTTACTATATATTTTCAACACATTAATCTGCAGAATCTGCAATAAAATTACTGGCTTGTGGATGAGTTTGGGCATAACTCTTATGTATATTCATTTTGCTGTTGTTCACTTAGATATCATTTTAATTCCTACATTATGCTTTTACTCAAGTCTGTCTGGTAATTACTACATTTAAAAATAAATATTTAAAATTGTGCATGCGCTTCTACTAGCGGCATGTGCGCACCCTTCCACTAGTGGAGTTTAAATGCCTGACTGGACAAAACACCAAAACGGTGTACTTTGGCCATGACATTCATACTGATCACTGTCCCAGTCAGGGTACTTTTGATGTTAAAGGTTAATCTTATTCCAGATCCTACCAGACAAATTGGGATTCATTGTAGCATAGTCGGTATAGTGACTGTCTGCATACTGGTATACTGGTTGAGTCCCAGTGGAGTCAAGAATTTTCTCTTCTCCAAATTGTCCAGAACAGCTCTGGGGTTCACCTAACCTCCTATCCAATGGGTACCAGGGACTTTTTCCCCCGCGAGGTAAAGTAACAGAGGTGTGAAGCTGACCACTCACCTCCATCTAGTACCAAGGTCAAGAAAATGTGGATCTGTATATCCACTGCCCCATATGCCTTCATGGCATAGTGCTTAATTCTTTGAGCACAGAAAACTTTACATTTTTTTACCAGACAAATTATAAATTGATAGCAGAGTGAATTTACCGACTACACAACACGTTTTTTATTATCTCTACATGTTTCAACCTCAAGAGGTCATCCTCAGGTGTATGAACACGGCTGTATAATTACACGCGGTCGCATTTACTTTTCACTCAGTCAACTCTGTATCTTATCCGGATTTACGCTCACTAATATATCGAGTTCTTTTTATAAAACACAGGTTAAAATTATTATTCTAATTTAATTGTTAAAAGTTAAAAGTTCGTGAATCGAAGTTCAATTCATGTCACTGGTTACACTTCGATTCACGAACTTTTAACTTTTAACAATTAAATTAGAATAATAATTTTAACCTGTGTTTTATAAAAAGAACTCGATATATTAGTGAGCGTAAATCCGGATAAGATACAGAGTTGACTGAGTGAAAAGTGAATGCGACCGCGTGTAATTATACAGCCGTGTTCATACACCTGAGGATGACCTCTTGAGGTCGAAACATGTAGTGATAATAAAAAACGTGTTGTGTAGTCGGTAAATTCACTCTACTATTGATTAAACACACAACAGGATGCAAGAAACGATTAAAATTATAAATTGGTTCAATCAGGATTTGTTTCAGCATATTTAATCTCTGTTCATAAGAGCAGGACTTTCCATTTGTTAATAGTTTCAGTCAGCCAGCCATTACCATTGATAGATTAGTGACATAGTGCAGGACAGAACAGTGCATACCATATAGAAATACAAACCTGATACTCCATTGAGGCAGATACATCAAGTGTCAAAACTATAGATGGAGATGAAGATGTGTCCATCAAGTGGTGCACATCAGGCTGCAGAGTGGGTGTGTTTATCACAACGCCTAATTTATTTGAATTCAAATAGTTGCCAGCACTCATTTCCATGGACCAATAAGATAGCATGCAGCACAAAGCAAACCAAATTGTCATGATAGCAGATCAGAATGTGAACCTGATTTATGTATTTCTGTAAAACAGTCATAATTTGATGAATACACCGTGAACGACACTTTCAATTTCTTTAGAAGTTGGGAAAGATAACTCTTTTTAAAGTGGCTATGGTCTTGTGTAAGTTATTCTAACTGTAATCTGTGAGACCTGAATAGGTACAGCACTCTGGGTTAGATGTTATGAAACTGTCATTAAAAGTAAATAATGTGAAATAGCTAGATAAGATAAAAGTGGAGTGAATCAGATTTGCAAATGAATAAGCATTGTAAACACACCCACAGCATACTGGCGTGTAGTCAGGGCAGGAAGCAATGTTAATACAACTGTTACTCCTATGATAACAAATTTGATTTGTCTCATTCTGGTCCATCACACTATTAATTACAAAGTAGATAACTTTCAGGCCAGTATGACATACAGGTTTACAACACTTCAGTCTTTATTTGCCTTACATGTTTTGATTCAAAAGAATCATCTTCAAAGGCGCACCACTACGAGCAGGAAACACTGTCACATAAGATGTTTTAACATTATGCACTTAGGTTATGAATAGTGCTCACTATATCACAGTTTGCCCTATGCAGCCACGTTGACGTGTAGATTTACGTATGATGTTTCGTTTAAGCGTATTTGCTGGGTATTCGATTGGGGTTGCCCACTGCACGCGATGTGATGTTCACTTTTCCATAAAATAGCTTCCCTATGTATTTAAAATTGTATTAAAAATCTTTTGTATGTAAAAAATTAGTTATTATGTTAAAAATCGTGAACCAACATTGGGTCATGTTGTTTTTTCCTCCGGATGGTAGAAGATGTCAATTATTTCTCTTGGTTGTATGTTCTTATTGTTAGTTGTGTAGCTTATGTGCGTGCTGTGTCGTATGTACTGTTTTGGGATAACAGCCTTATAAAGTGAAGCATGCTGTGTGACTCTCCTGATTGACAAAGTCAAAGAAACTTGGTAAGAAACTTCAACATGGTTGCTGACAAACTAATTAATTAATACACCTAGCTGATATTTGTGAGGTAAAAAAAGGTAAAGCTATCCCTGTAACAGGCTATGGAGGGCCATAGGGTTGTGAGATGTTGAGGCTCCCACATATTCTAGAGAGATTACAAGTGTCAGTGAGGTTGTCAGCCTTACACATCAGCTGCCCTTTACTCCCAGGAAGATTCCTGGTACTCAGTTCTGTTAGAGGCTAAGACCACTCCAAGACCATAGTGCAGCTGGAAGGATTAGGTCAATTGAAAAATTGACCTCATTGGGAATTGAACCCATGACCGACTTGCAGCATAGCATGATATTTGTGAGGTACTCAGTTTTAATCTTAGACAGTGCCCTAGCAGCTCTGAAGTTTTCTTTGTTTTCAATCATGCCTAGAAATAGACCACAACCACTTCCTCTGCAGTCCTTTTTAGTTAACCAGTCATACTATTAAATTTGCAGCTCTTACCATTTGTCATCTTTGAACAGAAGGTCTTAAATCACCCAGTACTGTGAAGCCAGCATCTGAATTTTAACTTTGGGATAATGTTATGATTTGAAAAATGTGACATTTGTCCAGCTAGACCACATATATACATGCACCACAACAGTAGTTCAGTGCATGGCCAGTAAAGGTTAAACAACCCTTGCAACGATGACACCGTACAATTTTTATGATGATATCTTGAAACTATATTCTGTACTTTATTGTAATTCATTACTATCAACACTTGTGCAGATTTATTTGTTGTTTGCTTATGGATTTCAGTTTGTAAGCCATAATCACTGCTTTCCCTATGAAAAAGAATATTTGAAAAACACAGAAACAAAATCTTTCAGTTAAAATTCTTAGAATTAGCGAACATTGGGTCACTTTGAATTTAAAACAAACAATAACAAGATATCACCTCAAATCTTAGATGGTGTTCCTCTATTCTATGAGGAGGCTACTCATCGACACATTTGACAACTCGAGACGCCACGAACCAAGACGAACTGATGCTAGCAAAGTCACAGTCAAAGTCATGTTGCATCTGACGGTCAGTCAGTCTGTCTGTCTTGGTGTCAAGCCCCATCTGGGGCTTATGACCACATATTTCTTTTGAATGAAAGTTACTGTCTTGTCTATATGGGGAGCCCTCTGTGACGAGAGGTTGGGTCTGTCATTTGTCAGTCAGTCTGTATTAATAAGTCCACTGTCTCTATTTACATACATTTACAAATCCTGATGATAGTGACTCAGAGTCAGAGTCACGTTGTAACTGACGGTCAGTCAGTCTATCTGTCTTGGTGTTGAGCCCCAGCTGGGGCTCATGACCAGATATTTCTTTGAATGAAAGTTACTGTCTTGTCCATGTGTAGCGCCCTCTCTGACGAGAGGTTGGGTCTGTCATTTGTTAGTCAGTCTGTATTACTAAGTCCACTGTCTGTATTTACACATATTTACAATACACACTTATTTCTTATTTAAATGTACAATATATACACGGCCTCTGCCAGTCCAGGCT